GACACAGTAGAAAATGCATCCATGAAAACTAAGAATGTGCTCAAACAAAAAGGACACTGAAAGAAACATTTGGTGTCACTTTAAAAGTCTGAAAAGTGAAAAATTAAATGAAAACAACTAAACTGGTAACATCAACCCAAAAACATACCAGAAAGGTACAGGCTTCAGAACACATGGGGAAGATGAACAAAAATAGATTTTAACCCTGAAAGGGAGAAAAACAGGGAAAGGAAAACAAGGAATGAAAATGTAAATTCGGAACATACAGCAGAAAGACCGCTCCTACTAAGGAAACAGTAGAGGATAGTCCTGCTTCAGGGAAAATGGCTTTAATGTTGGAGGAAAGAAAAGGAGGTGCACAAGGAACATCTAGAGACATTTGGGAGGAATTAGCTAAAGGAGAAAAATTTAAACTAGAACATCAGAGGAGCAGATGTGCTGATTAATAGGAGAAAAGGAGAAAGGAAAGTCAGAAATGTTCAAGTAATTAAGGCTCAAAAATGGCATAAAATATACTAAAATTAAGTAAAAAATAATAGGCAATTTTTACATGAGCTACAGCATGAAGTTGCAGATGTTAAGAATGAACTGAATCAAATGTCAGTTTTGTCACTAACCAACTCTATGACCTCGAACCACTTAAGCCCCCTGGGACTCAGTTACTCTGTTTGAAAAAAAATGTGTGTGTATGAGCACAGGGTAAGTGGTTAGGTAAAAAAATGGGTGACCACTCTAAGGCTTCTTCCACCAGCTTATATGAGGGAGAAAAACAGAAAAAGCAGAGAACTCTTAAAGAATTAGAAAGACAGAAAAAATTTTAAATGAGAAGAGTAACAGTTAACAAACATTGCACAGTGCTTTACAATTTAAAAAGGTCTCTTACATGAATGATTATGTGTACTCCTTGCAGCAAGCCTGAGAGACAGAAAAGCCAAGTAATATCATTTCACAAATGGAGTAACTGAGGCTCAGAAAGATGAAACAACTGGCTCAAGAACACAGAACAGGACTCAGGATCGAACTCAGATCTACCAGCGGCACAAAGCCCTCTATCCTTCTACATTTAGATGCCCTCTTCCTGTGTGACTATGGTTTTGCAGGACATTTTTGTGGCTTATTTGGCAGTAGATAAGTGAAGAGTTATAAACATGCCCAAAACAAACAAAAACCACAACCCTTGCAAAATAAAATTCCTTTAGAGTTAAATGAGTCACCTTATAACTATATATAACTTGTACAATACATAACTTGTACATATATACCTATATATAACTTGTACAATATATAACTTGTACAACTATATAACATGTACAATAATTCACTATTCAAAATGCTTTCCTACAAAGTTGAACTTGGTTCAGTTACAACCGAGGAAGACTACTCTTTCAGTCCAGTCTGTCTTTTAAATTGTAAAGCACAATGTGGCCTTTCTGCATACAGAATTACTGGCTTTGATCTTTAATTCTGATGTCACTATAACATGAAACCAGCTGCTTCAATTTGTACATTCTGGATACCAAGAGTCCAGATAAAGTAGCAGAAGTAGTCTGAGAGAAGGTTTTAGTTGTAACTCCTAAGAGTATCATCATCACATCTCTATGATAGTGATAATAAAGCAACAGGATTTTTCTCATCCTATGCTTTGCTCTCAAAGCTGCCATCAGCCAGAGCTGACTAACTCACTGCAGTACTATTGAAAAATTTAAGGAATATAATCTGCTGCTTCTTAGTCCAAACCTATTTTATCACTCCTTTTCTTTGTGCACATTTAAAATGTATGGTTAAACTGAACAAATGAGTGAGTTTTAGATAAAGCTGCAAAACTAGTTATATGATTCGACTATCTTTATTTCAAGTGGCAAATTTTTTCCTTCAAGTGGCTAAGAACCTCCAACTGACTAGTTGGACATTTACCCATAACCCTTACTCCTCTACTTTCCTCTTCCTCTACCCAAGTAAGGCACCTATGACCACTCCCAGCCCACACAACACTGCTCTTTGCAAATCAGCAGACCATAGTTCCTTCCAGTTGGACATCACTTCAGGTCTCCTTCATGCAAGAAAGGGTGTGAAGAAGGATAAAGAATCAAAGGGCAGTTTAAGTGCAAAAGGTGAGGAATCCCCCCACATGCCAGAGAAACTGGAAACTGGAGCTCCGTTACATCAGTGGCTACAATCATGTTCCTGTTTTTCTCCTATATTACTTCATCCTTCCCTTGTAGTTCCTCTTTTAATGCAGTTGGACAAACAGTGGCCAGATAAGCCTGTCTGAAATAGAAACCCAGAGGAAATCAAGGCCTACACTAAATGAGCCATAGCCAATTCTACATCACCTGATTACCAGGCACTGAATACACAAACACCATACAGAATAGGTAACATAGATGAAAAGAGCATTGGCATCTTGGTCAGAAAACCTGATTTTTAAGTCCTGATATGTTGCATAATTTCCAACAAGTGAACTAACTTTCCTAAGGTTCACTTATCTAATCTATAAGCAGTAATAATACACCAACGATCTACCTATTTTACAGAGCTACTATGAAAATCTATGTGAGAAAAATACTACACGTTTGGGGCAAGTAACTTTTTACATCATTATAATGTTGTGAAGGGCAATACAATTCTTAATTGAAAACCCTCTCAGCAATCACATATAGTACTCATTCTGCCTTTCTTTAGAGTTATACTGAAATAAGCATGATTCAGGTAGCTAACTATCAAGTGGCTTTCCAGCCACTACCTATAATAAACATTGTATAGTCCTAATATCCTACCTATATGCAGTGTAGTAGAAAAAGCATGGGGCTTGATGTCTGAATGACCTAAGTCTGAATCACAGCTAGGTTATCATAAGTGGCAGGTCTTGGCCAAGTCTGAGCTGAAATATCCTCAAATGTATATTAGGAATAAGACTGCCTATTTCATAGGATTAAGATGATTGTGAGCATGTCTGCCCGAGGCCTAATCTGGTGCCTGGTACACTGATTCCTCAATATATGGTGGCTGGTTATCTGTTTGTATTTCCTTTTCCGCACAGCAAGCATCTTTGTTTTTTTAAGGAATACCTGAATTACAGAATCAAAAACAATTACCAAAAACTCTCTAGGCCAAGAAGTACAATGAAAGGGATTTCCTAAAATAATTCACAGATCCTGAAATTGTATCCCTAAAATTAATGTAAGCATCAGATCAAACCTGAAGAGTTTAAAATCCACCTTTCCTTTTGCTGGTCCCACATGATGATATGTGAATCCAAGTGACTTAAAACCTCTACTACTATTCCCTTCAGCCACTGGGACTATGAAGAAGGAGGTAGCTGTTTTCTAACAGCTTCCCCTTGAGAAGTAAGTGCCCTGAAACCTAGGCTGACTACTGTCCGGGCCCTGAGGACAGGTGAAAAAGGGACAGTAGGGGAGAGAGAATTTAGCTTAACTTGGAAAGCTAAATTAACTCAAGAAAGCAGATCAAGAAAGATTTTGGACATGATATTCTTCATGACTTCACCTTAAGCTTATGCCTCAACTATACACCACTGCCTGTCTTCATAGAGGTATATTAATACTCCCTCAAGCTAGTTCCTTTGGGCCCAAGGGCTCATGACTACATTCAGATTTGAACCATGACAAAGTTTCTATATATATATATATATATATACATATATATGTGTGTGTATATATATATATATATGGAAATCTTATTAAAGACTGAGGTTTCAGCAACCCCCCATTTTTATTCCAACTCAATATTAAGCAGCTTTTTTTTTTGAAACTACACAATAAGATGTGCTTTCATCCAGTATTGAAGTGGCAATGCATAAATTAGACTTCCCACCGTATTTTTTTCACCACAAAATTTTCATGTTTAGAATTCCCCCAATTGCCTATGCTCATCCTTTCAGAAAGCCTGAGAGTCACACATGATTGTCAAAATAGATGCCCTGACACACCCAAAAGAACTACAGGGAAGAGTCAGTGTGTGTGTATAGACACACATGGGTGATGATCTCCTAGGACAACCTCTCAAAAGTCACAAAATAAGACACTGATGGTGAGGAGGGTGGAGTCGGTGGCCTGGGATGGAGCTGGATACAAAGAAAAGATTAAGATCTGGGGAGCAAAATGGAAAGAACTACAATGGTGTATCAAGGAGGAGACGAGATTACGGTAGAGGGATTAGACTAGGCAGGAACTGAAGTATCTGTTGGGGGAAAAACTACTACAGTGAAGAGAAAACAAAGAGATTACACCAAATTGAGACGTTGTAATGAGCCCTCCCTCTTGCTCCAATTGCATGGTTTTTTCCAGGAAGCTCCAAAACAGTTATTTTTCAACAGACGGACTATATTAACAAAGCAAATAAAGGAAACCTATGCTAAAAATGTAACCTATGTACAGAGTGGTCTGAAAACGGAAACGCTTCTTTTTCCCAGTTTTGTGGTGGGTTTCAAAACTGCGGGCACTGGGAGTGGGGTGAGGGAGCAGCCAAGCTCATCCTGAATATAAAATGTCTTTTGGCTGCATGCTTATTTTAAATTTACCTTTTCGCGGTTAGCGGACAGATTCTTAACTAAACACGACCTTCCACTCTGTAAATCAGAATCTCATAAGCGGCTCAAAACCATAGAGCATATAAAAGCATATGCAAACACAAGGCAGGCGCAGAACCAGCACTTGCTTGGGGTAGTAGTCTAATACCCCCCAGTGGGCGGCTGCAACTCACAGTAAGAGTTGATTTGACCAACAGTGCATTGGAACAGAGAAAAGTTAAAGGGAGAGCCTAAGTTTAGCATGCAATTAGACGGAGAAGTTGTGAATGGGCAGTAAGTGGAAAACAGAGGATACAGAAAAGGGCTAACTAGGTAAACACCTATCACCTTATGAGGAGCTGCACAAGACAACCAATTCTGACCAGATACCTGTTCCCTGCCCTCAGCGGCTCCCGTCGCGGGGTTGCCAGCCGAGCGAGGGGGTCCAGCGAACACCCTCAGCACCACTTACTTTCGTCCGGCCATTGATTTTGTAGTTGCCCAGCTTCCCGTTACAGTGGCGGATCAGGTCGTCCATGCTGCTCATGAGCAGCCCAATGGTTTCGCAGCCAGGCTCTTTGCCCTCGATCCAGGTGATCTTATCGCCTCGGATGTCCTTGGACGAGTCGCTCTTCTGACTGACTAGCTGCCCGTCCGTGAACTTGCCGGTGTCGTGCAGGGCGCGCACCTCGTCGCCGATCTGCTGCCCGGTCTCCTTGCCCAGGAAGTCGTCCACCACACAGATGCCGTGCTTGTTCATGCACGGCACGATATACTCCACCGCCAGCTTCAGGGCCGGCAGCGGCTTCGTCTGCCCGTTGGGCCGCAGGCCGCCGCCGTGGCTTAGCCCCTCGCCTGGCGTGCTGCTCGGCGGGTACAGGTTCGCCTTCTCCTGGAACAGCGGCGGACGGGCCAGCAACTCCTCCTTCGCGGGCTCAGCCTCGGCTGCCGCTGCCGCCGCCGCCGCCGAACCCTGGCCGCCGGGCGCCGACCGCGGCGGGGACGCTGCCGCTGCAGGTTCGGGCGTGAGTTGGGGCTTTGCCTTTGCCGCGTCTCCGGGGGCCGGAGGGCCCGCAGCCTCGGTCGCAGCGGCACCGTCCCGGTCCCGGCGCGGCGCTGCCTTCCTGGCCCCCGCCCCGCCGGCCCTGGGCGGCGGTGCGGGGCCGGGGTGCCGGTGCTGCTGGCCCGCTGCGTGGCCGGGGGCGCCTTCGCCGCCCTGGCACACAAGCTTGTGCTTCTTCCAGTCCTGGCGCTGGTGCTCCTTGCTGCAGTAGAAGGAGCTGCGGCAGCGGCTGCAGCGGAGGAGGTTCTCCATCTTCCCGCATAGCTCGCAGTACTGCCGGTCTCGCTCGCTCGGGCTCGGCCCGCCGGGCCCACCGCTGTCATTGGCCATGGCGGCGGCGGCGGCGGTCGAGCAGGAGAGGCGGCGGCTGAACGGCCTCGCCCGGGGCCGGGGAGCGGGTGGAGCGGCAGAGGCCGTCCCTGCGCCAAGCACCGCTGCCCCTCGCCTCAGGGAAGCCGGCGCCCCGCGCCTTCGGCCCGGCCGCTTGCTTGTCCTCCGGGTCCGGCCGCGCAGCACCGGGAGCCGCCTCAGCGCCTCATCGCTGCCGCACGGGCTGAGGGAGCGCGGCCTGCGCGGTGGAGTGCACGCGGGCCTGAGCGCTCCAGACCGGCCGTCTCGGTCGCCGCCTCAGCGGGCGGCCCGGCTGGCCTGTGGAGGAGCGCGGGCCGTGCGGACGCCACTCGCTCTGCGCGCTCTGCACGTACACCACGGCCCCGCGGCGACCCGGGCGGGCGACGCGCGAGGGCGGAGGGGGCAAAGGGGAGGGCCGAGGGGAGGGCCGTGGGGGTGGCCGCCGCACACACACGCTCGGGTACGGGCGGTGCCGGGGCCGCCTCCGCTTGCCAGCACTCGGCAGGGCTGGGCCTCGTAGCCCGGCTGTCGGCTCCCGTCCCCGCCCCTCAGCGGCTCCGCCCCGGTCGGGCCCGGGACGATGGGAGGCTGGAGCGCAACCCCCGCCCGGCCGCGGCCTTCGCCGGGACTCCGAGGGCAGGCCGGCGAAAGCGGAAGGGTGAGGACGGCTCGGCTGTGGCCGGGCCCTGCCTCCGGACGGTGACTACACCTGCTGAGGAGAGCGCCGGCCGTGGGTCGGCGCGGAGCGGGTGATCTTAATATGGCTACTGTTTGTTTAGGATCGACTTGGGTGTGTTTCAGGCACGCTCTAGACTAGGTCGCAAGGTGACTACTGCGATCCCCCTTTTGCACTGGAGGAAACTGAAATTCAGAGAAGTAACTTGCCCAAGGTCACGCAGAGCTGGCACCGAATCCAGAAATCAGACTCCGTCAGATTCCGAGACCACTTTTTCCATTACACCAATACAGCCTCTAGTGCAAGGATGCCCTAAATGGTTAAAAGCGAAAATAAGTGTTGCTGCTGTGTTAATCCATGCCCCTGTACCGTGTTTGAACCAGATTTAGAGACACTGAATTTTTACCGGTTAAAAGCCCTGTGAAATCTTGCGGAGTTTAAAAGCCCGTGAAAAATTTTTGTCTACCAAGTTCAATAAAGCAATCAGTGCTCATTCCAATATCCACATTCAGGTATTTAAATTCAAACTGATGGAACTACTCTGAGAATTAGATTTTGGTGGTAGATGACCATCACCACCAAAACATTAACTACTTTTTAAATTTAAAAAAATCTTAATACAATCTGTGCTACACTGATGAATACAATCTTTGTTTTATAGAACGTTAAAAAACCTCGCCAGGAATAAGACAAGGGGTGTTTCTTTCCGTCTGCCATTTATTTTAAGAATAGAAAGGGCTGTGATCTAGATTTTCACAATCTTTATTGAACACCTGCTAATGTGGAAAATGCTGTGTTAGGCTATGTTCATCTGAATAGATTGAAAGTAACTTCATCAGTCTTTGAGATTAAGTTTTGGGGGCTTACAACACAGCTAAAATGTGTAGGTCAAAGTCAGAAGATATAAGGAATTAATTATTACAAACCACTTTGTAGAATATATTTTTTAAAACTAAACTGAATCCAAAAATACAAAAACTCTTCATCTGCTACACAGAACTTGTCTGTCATTAAATTTTTCTATATAAATAAACAGTATCCTGGTGACCCAATCTGTAATTGGACAGTAATTCCAATTACCCTGGCCTTTGGGAGACTTGAGACATGCATTATATTCACAGCTTCAAACTCCAAACTAAGTGAAAATCCAACTTTCTGTAAAGTATCAAGACCTGGATCTATCTCAGTTGTGCATCCAATTTTTTCAGAACTTAAATAAATACAGTAAATGTCATTGTGTCAGGTATTACCCATTAGGCTGTTCAAGTGTATTAGGAGCATGCTATTGCTTGATTGTCCCTGGCACACAAATGAACTCGTTATACCACATACACTCAGGGGATGTATAGTGGGGTCGGGTTAGAGGTGGTCACAGACATATAAACATATAAAGACAAACGAATTCAAAGCAAGTGCTGTAAGAGGAATGAATAGGATGGGAGGGAATAAAGAAAAAGGAATTGCTAGCTCTGCCCTTTGTACTAACGAAGATTCCAAGGAAATCAGAAATTCTTAAAACTATAAAGGGACTATTTAATGGCTTAAGGAAGTGAACTTTTAAAACATTTTTGATATACATAAATGTGAAGTAGACTTTCAATACAAATGAAATCAAATATGTCTTTGCTATAGTAATTAGAAATGATTGTGAACTATTTGCAAGGAGAGGAACTTCACTAGGGAACACTCATTCCACAAACACTTGATTCTTCTGAATTTAGATATTTTTAGATATTAAAGTAGTCCAACAATTTGTTGAAAAATTACTGTTTAACCCTTATACATTGCTGGTGGGAATATAAAGGGGGGGGGGCAGCTGTTTTTGGAAACTGTTTTACAATTCTTCAAAAGGTTAAAAGCAGAGTTACCATTTCACCCAGCAATTAGACTCCTAGATATTTACACAAGAAAATTGAATGTCCACAGAAAAACTTGTACATGACTGTTCATTGCAATGTTATTTGTGACAGCCAGAAAATAGAAACAACCCAAATGTCCATCAACTAATTAATGGATAAATGAAATGTAGTATATTCACACGAGGAAATATTTTTCACTAAGAAGGAGTGAAGTACTGATACATGCCACGATATGGATGACCCTTAAAAACATAAGTAAAAGAGGCCAGACACAGAAGACCATATATTGTATGATTCCTTTGATATAAAATATCCAGTACAGGCAACTCTATAGAAACACAAAGTAGATTAGTGGTTGCCTAGGGCTGGGAGGGTTGGGGACAATGGGAAGTTACTGCTGGAAGGTACGTTTCTTTTAGGTAGTTGATTGTGGTAATGGTTGTACAACTGTAAGATACTAAACACCACTAAATCATGCACTTTAAATGAGAGATTTGTATGGTGTGTGTATTATATCTCAATAAAACTGTTTAAAAATTGCTGTTTAGATCTATGATATGCAAACAAGTGTACATTGCTATATGCTCTTTTCACATATTTTCATTAATATCTACTCAAAAGAATACATGCCTCTATCAAAACTCTTACTAGCTTTCGTTTTGTTCCAATTAAGCATACAAAATCACAAATTGAACATGTGTCTTGAAAATAGTCAATACGGCATTTCAAATTTTTCATGAGTAGAACAGTTAAATAGAAAAGATTGTTTCAAATATTTCCAAAGATCTGTGATTTCAGAATTTTCAGTTGTTCAGGTTCAATAACCTAAACTAACTCTAGGTTAGTGAGATTTCACCAAACCATCTGCTGGCTATGTAGTAACAAATGATAATATACCAACAAGATTCTGGAACTCTGTAAGTCATCACTTCTTCAAATGTTATGGAAAGATTCACACTGTCATACAGGACTTTATCTTATAAATATTTATATGGTGCTTATTATTATGTTCCAATCTCTGTTGTAAGCATTTTACAAATATTGACTCATTTAATCTTCATAAAAGCATTCTGAGGTGGGTACTATCATTATGCCCTTTACAGAAGGTGAAACGAGTAAGGCAATGAGTTTCCCTCCTAATTATTAAGATGATATAATTAGTAGCATTACATGTTTTATTTAATACTCTGGGGAAACCAAAGGCTTGTGTCTCCCAAAGCCAGGAATTATTACAATTTTTCTCCTGCCCCAAACTATTCAAGACCAAATATTCTAGAAACTGAAGGATGAATTAAAATAAAAGTGCTATCATCTCCATATCACACCAGTGTGGACTAAAGCTAACTGACCATCTATTTGGCTTCCCTTTGCACGTTTGGCAATGTTTACTTACGCTATAAAGCAGTAACCACTAGAAACTAACAATAGGCTTACTAAAAGAGGCAAAACAGAGTAAATGCAACAGTTAAACGAGAAAATGAATGTAGAAATGACTGTTGACTTGAGGAAAGTTCAGTGAACAGAACTTATCTTCAAGGGACTAGCCCTATTTCTACATTTAAAATATGTTAAAAATTCACAAAAGGGTATCTTTCCCACTCAGGATATCAAACATCTGATTGTTAACTAATGACCTTTTGTTTCCCCATCTGACAATCTTGTTTTAATATGTTATGGGGAACAGAAAAATCACAAGTATAACATAGGCACCCCACCAAGATAAACAGGAAGATGATCTTTGAGTTCTGGGAAAAGCAACTAAAGTCTGAACCATTTTCTAACTATAGTATTAGGATACGCACAAGTAGGTGTTGGGAACAGCACCTGCTCCTTGTACTGGGGGTTCTGCCAAATACCCACGAGCTCTGTACTTCCCCACCTACGTGGAGCCAGTTTTGCTGTCTACTAAGGTTGTTTCCTAATGAAAATAAAATATTTAAAACACTTTGTATATATTCAAGAAAATTTGTCTAGCATCCAACTTATCAGCTTAAAACTTACCAGCAATCCAGAAAAGATTGTTTCAAATATTTCCAAAGATATAACATAAAACTTTACGACCATTTCTTACTATAGTGAATATTTTTATTACAAACATGGGTTATTATATATTATGTGTTAATGTAATACATTATGAGGTTTTTTTCCTAACAAACATTACCTTAATGTTGAAACTTAAAGTAATTTATACCAAATTCAGGTGGGATCAGCTAAATAATTTTTTCTATAACTTCTTTTGGTGAAAAAATGTAAACATATGTAAAAATAGAGATAATAGTGCCATCAGCCTCAACCCTGATTAGTTCAATAATTATCAACTTTGACTATTATCAACATTTTTATACTCTTGTCCCCCCATTTACCTTTTATTAAAATTTATTTTTTGAGATATAATTGACATATTAACACTATAAGTTTTAGTCGTTACAACATAATGAGTTGATATATGTATATAATGTGAAATGATCATCACAGTAAGTTTAGTTAGCATCAGTCACCCCACCTATTAAAAATTTTTTCTCTGGTGATGAGGATTTTTAAGCTCTGCTCTCTCTGCAGCTTTCAAATATACAGCACACTAACTT